CAAAGCAGAGGAGGCTGGGAAAACAAGAGTGCCAAGAATTGATGTGTGTGTATGTGTGCGTTTGTGTGTGAGAGAATGAAGAGTGTGTGGGGTGCAGTGCATACAGATACAGATTACAAAGGAAGAAGGCACTGGAGATTGCTTGAAGTCAATATGCCATTTGGATGCAAGAATCATGCCAAATGTCATATTGCTCAACCCAACCCAACCCAACCCAACCAACATTATTTACAGTGCAGCAGCCCAAATCAGAAAGGATAGTGTGGACAGATCCTTCGTAGACTTTGTACCTTCTTCTCTGCAATAATGTGGTACTGCTTCTGAGCTGGTCCTTGTGATTTACAATAAAATACCTTTTAAAGAGAGAGAAGTGAACTTTTGGAGTAGAAAGCTGACAGGAAAATTGTCAGTTCATTTGGAATGCAGAGTTAGGGGACAGCTTTATGGATACCATGATGTGCTAGAAAGACAGATATTTGGGTTGTAAATCAAATCAAGACCGAACTTCCATAAGAAGCTAACAGAACTGAACTGAGCTTACTGTTCTTTTGTCCTCTTATGTCCTCAAGACTCAGGGAAAAACGCAATAATGTTGGGAAAAGCACAAAGCAGTGGGAAAAGAGGAAAACCTAACATGAGATTAATTGACTGCATAGAGGAAGCCAAGGCCTTGAGTTTTCGAGACCTCAGCATGGCTGTTCATGATAGGACTTTTAGAGTTAGTGAATTCATAGAGTCACCATAGGTCAGAAACAACTTGATACTACATAATAAAATCAACACAATTTTCTACTCCTTATTTAATAAAATGAATATATTATGGTGCCTCCATTCATATATTCTTCATCGCAAGTTCATGTGCCTGATTAAGCTAAATAATAGAAATAAGCTGGGTGAGACTGTTTTTCTTTTATACAGTGGTGCCTCGCTTAAAGACATTAATTCGTTCCAGTGAAATCGCTGTAGAGCGAAAATATCGTAAAGCGAATATAAAAAACCCATTGAAATGCATAAAACCCAGTTAATGCGTTCCAATGGGCTAAAAACTCACCGTCCAGCGAAGATCCTCCATACGGCGGCCATTTTTGGTGCCTGTATAGTGAGAAATCGGTCCCTAAGCACAGCGGGGAGCCATTTTGAGCACCCGGTGGCCATTTTGAAAACCCGACGATCAGCTGTTTTGATCGTCGTAATGCAAATAATCGGTTTCTAAAGCAGGGAACCAATCTTTGCAAAGTGAAAAAGCACACATTTAAAACATGGTTTTGCGATCGCAAAAACATTGTTGTGAAGCGGATTCGTCGTAATGCGGGGTAATCGTTAAGCAGGGCACGACTGTAAGGAGAAGGTTGAGAGAGAAACACTACTGTGGGCAGTGTCCATAATAAACAAAAGTCTGTCCACTCCACCCTAGTTACCTGCATAATCAACAGTAACATAGAAACAATAGCAATAAGGGTGATAATTAAAAAATCTCACGGGAGTGCCATCCTTCCCTCCTTCGGTTGATAAAGAGAGTCAGACCCCACCCATTCCCCCGCCTAGGAAGATGAAACAACCTGAACCAGACCTTGGGAGGATAGAGGACAGTTTAAAGGAGTTAATGGTTGAACAGCCCGGGACTGGTGTGGCAGGAAGGGAAAGGGAAGCGTGGGACGTGGTGGAGGCGGGGTTGGTGGATAATAAAAGGGGGAAGAGAAGACTCCCGGCAGACTGGGAGTGGATATGTGTTGGAGATCCTTGGACTGGCAAGATGGAGAAGCTGAGAGTCCCCAAGGAAGAGGCGGATGCGCGAAGGAGAAGAGAACTGACCCCCAGACCTTCTTATTGGGGGGTGGGGGAGAGAGACTAGAGTGGTGTAAGAAGCTGAGGGAGGAAAAGGAGAAGGTTGAGAGAGAGAGGATAGAAAGGATAGGATGGAGGATGCGGGAGATGCAGAACATGGAACCCAGGGAAGAACATGGCAGGCGGAGGACCCCACCAGGGATGGTGACTGGGTGGACTTTTGAGACGAGGACGTCATCCCCTTATTGACTTACAACCTTAAGAGGACAATTTTTAAAAGCTAAAAAGAGTAAATATACAAATATTTAAAAGTAATTAAGCAAGTATCATATTAAAATGGTAAATAAAATCAATACTAAAAACACATTTAAAAGCAACAAGATGCAACAATTCCATTTTAGAAACTCCTCTCAGACTGCCAGTCACTAGGGCTTTATAGG